TCTGGATTTGTTTGAATCCAGTATGAACCGTTTTATCTATTACTTTCTCTTTCTCCATGGTCTTCGATGTGATTCGTCTATTTTAAATAGCAGCGCCAAAATTTTCTCACAACTGTCAATAAGCAGTTGGGAATTGTCAATTTTGATTTTAAAATTTCTGTTTTTATATTCCCAGAACGCCTTATTAAAGTGTTTCAGTTTCTAGTGTGTTTTATAAACGATATTTATTAGTTTTAAGGGTAAAAATGACTAAGAAGTGTATTATTTGTTCTAAAAGATACTTTTTGGGTGGTTCTACCTCCTTTCATTGGTAAGTAAATAAAACACATAGGCGGCACCAGACACCATTGTGTATTTTTTTTTTTATTTAAGTATTGGTATATTAATGTTTCAATACTAATGCAGATACTACGTTATGTACCTAATTAAAAAAGAATATATCACACCATCAATACACAATACCCAAAGCCACTCAAAAAAATCACAATTTTGAGTTAAGATACAAAATTCAAATGCAACTTCACCAGACATTGTATTCTATTCCAAATTTAAGGCGCATTAATTATTATTACTTTGCTTCTTCATGTAAACATACACAGTTAATTTTAACAGCATTTTTCTTGAAATGCTACTTTTCTATAGTTGTGTTAGTATTGCCACCTATTGCCATTGATTTAAACTTGATGGTGCGGTATAAAATGGTAAACCATATTGTCATATTATTGAAACAGGTAATTCATTAATTATTTATTTTTTATGCAGCTTTCCAACAAACCTTGAAATAAGAAAAATTTGGTTTCAAAACCTACAAATAGAAACTGAGGAAGTTGATGAAATCAATAAAAACTCCAGAATATGTTCGGAACATTTCAAAACAGATGATTTTGTTATGAATGCCTCCGGGAAGATGATTTTAAAGTTAGGAGCAATTCCTATTTTATTCAATGCTCAACCTGGCCCATCTTCAGAAAACAAGTAAGTTTTATAATATTATTAAATAACACCTATCTATTACAAATTATTCTTACATTTTAAACTTAGTTATTAAATAAAATAATTGATAAAGTAAAGTAAATATTAATGCACACTGAACATTTAAGAAAATGTACTATTTTAAAGTCGCTTGCATCTTCTGAGACACTGAAGATAACGAAAGCCAAAAATCCTTTAAAAAACTAATTTTTTCAAAAATAAATTTGGTTTTATTCGAATGTGACATAAAACGTCGTTTATCAGACAGAAAACATAATCGAAAAGGTAAACTTTTAAATATACTACAATAAATGAACTACTAAAAATTACTTTTAGGGCCCAGGCCGCAAAAGTAAAGTGGCTCCGCTATTTAAACTGTCTGTTTTATTTTTGATGTACCTTTTAATACTGCTTATGATATTTTTTTGCTATTGTAAAATAGTAGTCCATAATCCATATACCTACATCAAATTTGAATAGAAACTTTTTTAATTTTGAAGTATAATTAAATCGATTTAACATAAGCACACTAACATGACAGCAATTGTTATCAAGAATGTACCTACCTAGTTATTCTTATCGATCACAGCCATTTCAATTATAAGAAAAATTGGAAATAATATCATTTTGTATTTAATTTTCTATATTTTTTAATATCTTCAAGCACATTCGAATAAAAAATATTGTATGAAACACTGACGAAAAGTGTATTTTCGGACTCCTAAGAGTTGCCAACTTCTCGTAGTCAACCAAAAAACTCAACTTTTCGTCCTAATAACATAAACTATATTATTTTGCATATTAAAAAAGTCTAGTATGCATATTAATTTATAAATATTTTTAGGGAAAATTTAGGAGCTATTTTATCTCCTACTGAATCTAGTGAAAGGTATAGAGATTTATAAGTCGCCATCTCCTAAAAGGTAATTCACAATAATTATAAGCCTTTGCACATGGATTGATGAAATTAATAATTATCTTTTTAGATTAAAAATGTTCTAATTTCTGTCTGAAGTTTTTTGTTAATATTTCTCGCTTAAATTTAATTCGGAGTAAATATATCTTACTAGACGTACCAGCTTTGCATTAAAAGACCACGGAGCAGATCTTATCGAGAAGCCACAGATATAATAAAAGAACGGCTTCGAGTAAAAAAAGTTACTTTTCAAAAGCAGCAAATATAGTGAAATGTATGTATGGTTACCCTAACCTGCTGTAGTATTAATAAACTTTAATGTAATTATAATTATACTTAGAATTATTGTATCCTGATAATTTTATTATATTGTCAAAATGCCAGGAGGAAGACTGCCATTTTAACATATATAGTATGCCCTAACCTAATAGATTGCGCCGAAAAATGGCCTTTATTCCTATTTTTATTATTTTTGTATTTCACAATCTACACACGAACTCAAATATCGCTACCTATCAAAGAGTTAAGTTAGAACACATAGAACGCTATTACATTACGTGTTATTTCCTTATAATTTCATTAAAAAATAGCGTAGTTTACTTTTTGTAAAATAAAATTTTATGTTCGAGTTGCATTTTTCTTTAAATCCATCCGTTACAAAATAATCCTTCGGATTCCGATGAAAAAACTGCTTGATACGCCCATGTAGACCTCAGTACCACAGCTGTCAAAAGTTTGTAGATAGTGGCTTCAAACAAAGCCTGTGTTAAACGCCGTCCGTTAGGTATCTATTTTTCATTTGTTTATCTGAGGTTGGCAAGTACTAAGAAGGTTAAATGTGACAAACACAAAAAAAAATCAAATTCTACTTTATAATAATGTTTCAATATTTATTCACATTACTGGTATATTGTATTCACTTGTAAACTATATTTGATGGTCATAATAATAATAATAATAATAATTTTAATGGTATCAGACCAGAGCTCCATCAAATAAAATCAACCTTAACAACGCCAGCAGTTCAAAAGAGAGATAAAACGTTGAATGCCGTCAGCAAAGTGCAAGTGGGTGCACTTGCACCTCCCTGTCAGTAAAGAAAATTCATAGAAAAAATTACATTTTTTTTATTAAGTTACTGTTTGAATAAAAACTGAAGGCGTCTAGGTTGCTGTCCAAATTTTATCATCACCTTGTCAATAAATTCAGTAGCCTCCTCTACTGTTTTTCTGTAAACACTGAGCTTGCACAGAGCTTAGCTTCGGGTCTCCCATCTTTAAGTGATTCTACGTGCTAAATATACGTTCCAGTCTACATGTTGTTACTGGAATAGTCAAACCAATTTTGATTGCCTCACATACTGCTGGGTAAAACGGAGTAGCTTGAGCAATTACATTTGCGTATTCAATAACAGATTCATTTAAAACCGCATTATTTGCTTTATTTGTTTTCATCATCTCATCTCGTATCATGTGGTAGCCTCGGCAATAAAATTATGTAGAAGATATCCGTAGAGGTTCTGCTATCGCTGATTTGTCTAATTTTCTCATATTTTTTGGGTGAAGCTGCATAAGCCAAAATGCTTTCTTGTGTAATGAAGAAAATTGATTTTTTAGTGAAGAAATAATATAATCTAAATATGGGATAAATATAGATATTCTGAAGAATTCTTTCACATTTTTATATGGCTGTTTTGATCTGTAAATCTGTTTTGTCACTACTCGATGACGCTTAAATTCATTATTCAGTTTTCACAATTTTTTTTTTTCTTAAAAATGACCGCAAACTCTACAGATGTATTATCGCGGTGAGATTGAAGCACATCAGTTAATTTATTTACATGATCATGTATTGCCCTTATATTCATAGTTTGTCTGAGTAGGCAGCAATTACTAAAAGTGTCACAATGTATGGTGGAGCAGTTGCTGTCGTGTAGAGCTGATACGCTTTGGTTATCGTTTTAAAATTCGGTGTGTCCTTCTAAAGTTGTTCTAAAACTTGTACAATAGTCAGAAAGTTTTCAGAAAATTTTATGATACTTTTGTACTTTGCCATTAAAAAATGGAGGTATATTTGGAATTTTATTCCGTCGCAACGTATTCTCTCTAAAAAATTTATAATGTCCCTTGTAGCCTCAGCAGTATTTCTCAGTTCATTGACAGTATTTAGGTAATTCATGACAACATTCAACATATGGCTTGCACAGTGGAAAAATAGGGCTGAATGATATTTATCATTAATAATTTTTTGAACACCACTTATGCGACCTGCCATTGCAGCACACCCATCGTATCCTTGGCTAACAAGTTTATTTAAATCAAAATTGTCGTCTTGCAGGAAGCGAATAATAGTTTCCGAAATGGCTTTTGCGTTCAACTCTTGTACCGGTACATATTCGAGGAATTCCTCACAAATTATTGGTTTTTTATCATAACGTAGAAAGCGAACATCAATCGATAATTGCTCTGTGCCACTAATATCAGCAGTCTCATCAGCCGAAACCGAAAAAGCCAAAGCATGTTTCACCTCCTCAATTATTTTTGATTTTCAGAACATCGGAACAAATTTCAATCAATTCGTTTAGAATTTGATGCGATATGTATAAGGAATTTTTTGCTTCTGATTCTAAATGATTCTTCAAAATCTCATCTCCCGAGTCAACTCGAAAATGTAGCAGGTCTGTAAAAACAGACTCCTCGTCAATTTTCCCATAAAATGGAAGGTCATGTCGCTCGCAAAACAATATTGTTGATACGTACGATAGATCAAAGTTTTAAACTATTTTCTTCAACTTTCTTGTGCTATGCCGTATTTAAAGATCCATAAACGCTTATTTCCCTTCTTTCCATGATCTTTTTAAATGTATTTGACGAAGCCAGTGCATCACAATGCTGCTTACTTGTTACATGAGACTGTTCAGCTTCATGAAACATTTGATATTTAAGTCAAGAAGAAACTATAAATATATCCAATACAGACGTCCCCTTGCTATAGCTGAGTAGGCTAACCACGGATAAGTTGTAAGCCTTTCATGTCGGAAAGCTCGTCTAGCATCAAGGTTAACGTCATTTTTAAAATTGTACGTTTTACTAGGATTCCAATAAATGGAAACGTAGATCATCATTGACTTGATAACTGAAGTCCAAACAGAACCCAGTATCCAATAATAAATTAGTTGTGCTTCTGATAGAAAAATCGAGCGATGCATCTGCTTGACAATCTACGCGTAGAGCTGGTACCTTTAAGCATAAAGGATTCATATATATTAAACTAATCAATTAACGCATTCAATAAAAAATTCTAAACATTTCATTAAATGATGTGATATAAATTTTCTTTAACCAATTTTTGTGATAACAAATCAGTTAACATTTAAGCAGTGATTTTTATTGTATATTTTTATAACTTCTATACATAATATTTATAGAGAAAATAATGCAAGAGTTTAAATAACACCGTTCAACACAAAAATCCTCTTTATAAAAATATCGTGTATTTTGTAACATTTGGACTTAAACTAATATACAACTGACCCCCAAATGTTTATATTGGCCTCAGATTTCTTGGAAGGGTCGAATAGGCCCATTAATAGGTAATAAACGGTCGCCCCATTGTTATTGGCAGGTATTTGGATCTATGCTTGAAATATCCCTTTAGTCGTTACCAGAAAATCATTTAGTAAACACCTATTTATTTTTTCGCTTAGATCTACGTGCGTGTTAAAACGGTACCAAAAATGTCGATGCGCGTTTGCGTTAATAAAGCCGATAGCTTCTGTTATATTTTTGGCGAAGTTACCGCGAAAGCGTACCAAATACCGATATCTTCATTAGTAAAAAAGGCTTATGAACTGTAAGGTCCTGGGCCCCAAAAATGTGTTGCAGTTCGTGCTTGAGAACATTGACTCGATGGGTGAAAGGTACTCATAAATCTATGCCATTCGCAGTTTCAATGGTTTGGAGGGAACCTCGTAATCACGTAAATGATTGTTATTTTTGCATAACGAATATTAAAGGAATTACTAACAAAACCAAGCGTAGCATTCAGTACCCCAATATTCCTTCTGCAATGCGATTAGTGCCCCATGACAACTCATTACCCATTCCCCAGCCACCTCAGAGTTACACGCTTAATTCCGAATCAGACTCCGGAAGTATTTCACCAGAAGCCGGACCAAGCTACATCCCTAGTTCTCATGATTTGCCTGATACACCCCATTTAATCACTCAAGGTGAATTAAATGACCTTGTTCGTGACTTGGACCTCCAGAAAACAAAAGCTGAACTTCTCGGATCCCGCCAGCAGTGGAAGCTCTTGGAAAAAGGAGTGAAGGTGTCCATCTACAGGAAAAGGCAATCTACTCTCACAAATTTTTTTGTAGTGGAAGGTGATTTAGTATTTTGCCATGACATACCTGGCCTAATGACCGAACTGAACTTACCATATACTCCCGATAAATGGAGACTATTCATAGATTCGTCTAAAACAAGCCTAAAAGCTGTTTTACTTTTTAATGGAAACGAGCATCCATCGGTTCCTATAGGTCATTCGGTAAATATGAAAGAAACATATGACAATCTTAAGATGTTACTAAGATGCGTAAAGTACGAAGATCACAAATGGAACATATGTGCAGATTTAAAAGTGGTGGCGTTACTGACAGGACTGTAATGAGGATATACAAAATACTGTTGCTTTTTGTGTGAATGGGACAGCCGTGCAAGAGACAAACATTATAAAATTAAAGTTTGGCCTCCACGTGACACAATACAAGTTGGCGTTAAAAATTTGACCCGAGAACCATTAGTTCAGAAAGAAAAAATATATTTATCTCCACTTCACATTAGGCTGGACCCTAATACGAGACACATCCAGGAGTTCTTATAAAAGAACGACTTATGGAAGTAAATATTAAATTTTAAATTATTTATAAATGTTTATACTGTACCTAAGCTAACTATTAATAAAATATATTATAGGTTTTTAATTGTTTAAATTTAATAAATCGGCATTGAAAGGGGTTTTTATTGACTTTTACTTAATATTAAAGCATATGTCCCTCCCTTATCATTGGAGGCTGATATCGAAAATCTGAGGCCAGATCGGGATTCAGCAGACCAAAATCTATAAAATCCAGCCAAAATCATTCCAGGGAGGAAAAAAGTTTTAAAATGTTCGTCAGTGTATAAGTTGCAAATTTAGTTGAGACTTTTTTTACTATGTTTATTGTTTGTTTTTGAATTTTATTTTCCTCTGTGCGCAGATAATAAACATTACATTAAATGATTTGGGTATAAACACCAACCCAACATAACTGGACTATCTAGTCTGTCTGTATCCTGCCTGGATGTCTTAATATGAGGTGAATAATCTTAATCAGAATTATCATCATGTTTTTACACAAAAAAAGTCTTATGTCACTTACAACTTGAACAGTAGTTAATAAGCTACACAACAAATTACCTGAAAAGGACTATAAATATGTAAAGTCGCTGTTTAAAAAGATTTATTACAGGCTACTAATTTGCGCACTATCGACAAAAAGGCAACTACAATTCAGTTATTAAGACTCAGTGCGGAAAGTCCTCCGCATCCGTCGCTTGCTAGTGGGGATTCTCTGAGCAATAATGCCAACGATCGACTACAGAGTTATATATCCAATCAAATACCCGCGTGATTTGAATTTGATATTACATTTATCATCACAAGATACATGTATAATTCTATATTAGTTTATAGTACAATGTGTAGATGCAGATGCACCTCCTTGAAAAAATCCTGGTGGAATCCATGGATAAAAGGCATCAAAAATAAATCTATTAGTGCGTACCTTAGTCAATTGATAAACAATAAATTCACTGATTATTCTCTTTGAAAAGCTACAAAGCGATTGAAAAGGCTCACTGTGCAGAATGATCCAATCAAGAATACAGATGGTAGCTAGGCTAGAAATAACATACAAACAGTTAATAGATTCGTAAAACACTAACTACATAATTTCTAACCAAATGAAGAAGAATAATTACTGAACTAAAATCTTCCAGAGAGAGAGAGAGAGAGAGAGAGAGAGAGATGACTCAATCATCAGAACAACCTATCCAAAAGAAATTGCAAATAAAATAAAAACAAATATTGAACCTAATAAAGCTACTGACTTTGATTTGATTACAAGAGAAGTTTTAAAACAACTTCCGAAGAAAGCCATAATTAAACTTACACACCTGTTTAATGCCTGATTTAAACTAAGGTTTATCCCTAGATTGGGGAAAATAACTGGTCATTATGATTAATATACCAGGAAAACCTCCTTGCGAAGTTTAGTAATATAGGCTAATATCTTTATTCCCTATGTTATTGAAACTATTTAAAAAAATTAAACCCATCATTAAAGAAAGGAAACTGATTTCCGATTATCAGTGCGGCTTTAGAGAAACCCACTTAACTATAGATCAGGTTTATAAAATCTCAAATCCGATTGAAAAAGCATTAGAAAACAAAGAAGTTAATTCAGCCATCTTACTCGATGTTACGCAGGCTTTTGATAAAGTAAGGCATGATGGTTTAAAACATAAACTAAATGTGCTACTTTTACAGCCATACTAAGAGCTACCAGATTCATACATTTCAGATAGAAAAACAATTTGAAACATACATCTGAAGTGTAAGAAATTAAACCAGGGAAGTGTCCTGAGACCCACTTTGTATCTGTTATACTACACTACTTGTAACAAGACACAATAGCTACATTTTCACATTATACTGTCATCCTAGCGATAGACAAAGATCATGAAAATGTTGCAAATAAGCTACAAACATCAGTTAATCAAATAAATAACTGGACCAAAAGATGGCGCATTAAATTAAATGAAACCAAATCTGTTAGTATTAATTTTACTAACAAAAATGGTCAACGAATTCCAATTAACATAAATATTGCCCAGATCCCTTATGCTAACTCAGCAAAATATCTAGGTATTACATTAGATGCAAGACTTCGCTAGAAAAAAGAAAAGATAAGAGTTAGATAAAAAAAAATCAAGAAAATTTACTGGATAGGTTTTCCAATCTATCTACATGGATAAAATTATTTTATATAAACACGTCCTCAAACCATTTTGGCCCTATGGCATTCAGCTATGTGGTTGTGCCAGCATCAGTATTGAGAAACATTGTTGATGCTCCTTGGTACATTAGAAACAGAGACCTTCAACAAGCCCTTCAGATGGACACTGTTGACCAGACTATCACCAGATTCGCTATGCATCATTAACAACTTCTCCACTAATAATTATGTGAACGTTTAGGAGATTCAGCTTCTTAACAACACGAACGTGACAAGACGACTCAAAAGAGTGAATCCTTTTGAGTTAGCCATATGATTCTGTTAATAACAAAGCAAAGCAGTGTGCGGTTTAATGTTACACGTTAGTTTAGTGTAATTTAAGTTATCAGATCCTAAAGTATACTAGCGAGTAGAACTTTACTCTTTAAAATTGTAGCCTAAGTTAAGTTAGGTTAGAAAAAAAATTACTTTTGATCAGATTGTAATATTAATGAAGGCCCCTTGCAGAGTGTTTAAGAAAAAAGAGTTATCGTGTTGGAAGACATGCGCAAAGACGTACAGACAAATTTTTATACGTTTTCGGATTTAAAATGATCGGAAATGCGGAGAATATTATTAAAACAGTGGGGAAGAAATTTCTCTTATCAAAATTCTTATAAAATTACAAGTAATTTTTAATTTTCCTAAAATTAGTTTATAGAAAAAACTCTTTCAGTTTATTCTTTATATTTCAACAGTATTTTGGGCATAGTCGGAACATCTGGGGAGTACTTTATAAAAGGTGCTTGTAATGTTATTCTCTATAATTTTTGTTGCATACATAATTTTCCTAAATTGCTCTGTATCCGAGAAACTTTACAAAAACTGTAAAATTCGAATCGAATCACTATAATTTTTATGACATACATGATTTCTCGAAAATGGACCGTAATGGAAGAATGTGAGAAAAAGTGTAAATTATTTTTTTTTTTTGTTTGGCAATAAATATATATATAAGACAATGTTTCGGGTAAGATGTGTGTGAAAAATATTTAGGTCATTCTCTAAACATTTTCAGATCAGATTTTTTTTTCATATCTTTCTATCGACGCTAAAAAGCCCAACTATATGTATTTTTAACGTAGTCGTCATGTACTGTCCATTTTAATTATTTTTTCCTGTAGTTTATTGCTTTCTATAAATAAATTAATTAATTAT